TCACAACCTCTCTGTAAAGCAGGTGTGACCCAACAACCCCTTGATGTCAAATTAATTTGGCAGAGGACACAGAAGGTGCATAGGGTTTTACAAGGATTCCATGGGTTGGATATCTGCATAACAGTTCACCAAAAGGAGGCATGTCAGGTCTCTACCCAGAGCCAAAATCCCACTGGTCAACATAATCATTATGAAATGTATGCAGAGATAATATTTAAGAAGTAATGTATCTATATTGAAAATTATGGTCTTACGGTCTTGGAGTTAAGGCAGGTCACCAGGAGGTGATGTACCTCTGAAATGTTCCTTTCAGGCAGAAGGTAACCGACACCCATCTTCCTGTCTGGTCATGTGTGTACTGTGTGCCTCACACTGCATGCTTATTTGTATACTCAGATGTGGACTGAGTGAATGTGAAATCTACAGGAAGAAACAACAAACAAGGGGGTGTCCTGTATATGAATAAAGACAAAGGACATGTCTGCTGTTTCTTGGAGTCCAATGAGACACAATGAATTCTTCATTTAGAAGGCAAACGGACAGCGAGTTTGTCTCAGGAAAGGAGAATCACAGCCAGCCTGACCGAAAAGCGCTGCAAGAATTTTGGGTGAGCAACATTCTACAAGCCATGAGAGTATCTGGTTAATTAAGTATAGGCTCCAGAATGCATACTTCTACTTAATACCACTTGATTCTCTATGCTCTGTTAAATAAACTGAGGCTTGATTTCACTATAAATAGATCTAAGTGCTGTGTGTTAAGCAGAGCAGTGATCTGAGGTGCAAGTAGTAAGCTGAGGTGTACTGTTTCTTTGGAAGCAGTGAATCTGTGAATACTGTGAGCGTCCAGTGGACACTCCAGATGTTCAGAGGGCTTGAGGGTTGGAATGTGCCCATCACTAACCTGTGGAGTGATAGTAGGGCCTGCGAAACCTAGAGGGAAGTGCTTGTGTTGCCTGTGGACAGTGGAGTTGTGGAGCTGACCCATGGCAGACACAGGACAAGGCTTCCTTGTGCTAAGGGCAGGTGGTAGCAAGGTACCTCACAGCCTTCAGTACCCCCAGGAAGCATCACAGAAGGCAAGTATTATACACAGGTTTACAGAGTGATAAAGTGAGGTACAGAAAGGTTAAATCAGTAGCAGAGCTGAGATTAGAACCCAGGGGTCCTGGATCCTGGTCTTCTGTGCTAACGTTACTCAGACTTCTTAAATGACCCTATGAACTTGGCATCTCTACTCCAGTGAAACTGTTTCACCTGGCAACACACAATAGGAACCGATGGGTAGAAGAGTAAGCATTCAAGCAATTATCTAGAAGCATAAAATGCGATCGCTGAGAGCGTAAATGTCCAAACAAATGTTTGTCCTGAGTTAGCATGTCTATGACTGAAAGGATCTATCATTAATACTGTGCTCTTGGCTAGAGTAACTGCTAAAAATAATTGCTTTTACACCTCCATAATTGTTTGGTCCTGCAGAATAGAGCTGAGTAGGAGGGGGGCTTCAGTATGGCATGTACCAACCCTTTTGGCTTCTAGCAGAGTTCCACATGCAAACCAACTTTCTGATGAATGGATTGTCTGCTTATTAACCCACGTACTATGAATACAGACAGAAAGGATCCAGCGCCTCCAATGCCTGCCATCATGCATCTCCTAAACACAAAGAAAGAAAGATGCCTGTTCACAGACTGTAGGCACTCTGGCGGATATTTAAACTCACAATCCATAACAGGTTTCAGAGTGGTAGCCATGTTAGTCTGTATCAGCAAAAACAACGAGAAGTCCTTGTGGCACCTTAGAGACTAACAAATTTATTTGGGCATAAGTTTTTGTGGGACAATGTGGGTTCTAGCCCACGAAAGCCTATGCCCAAATAAATTTGTTAATCCATGACAGCAATTCAAACACCAACAAACTGGTGACCACTTTTCCCCCTCCCCAACAACAAAACAACCAATCAATAAATTCATAAGTAAAACACCCCATCTCAATTCCCACAAAGCACTCAACTTCAATTGAAATCTCAAAGCCCACCAAACTCAGATTTCTCAGCCCTCCCCAGAACCTAATTAATAAAAAAGGGCTTTGCAACATGACCTGTAGAACATGAGCAAATTCCAAAGTTGAGCAGCCTTCTGGAGAATATTCTGTCAGCAGCTCCTTCTCTTCTAAATGGAAAGATGTGGAATATGCTCACCTGATCTCCATCCAGTGCCCCAAACTGCACTTATTTGGCATTGAAGAGAGGAGGAATATGTTCAAAACTCACTCTGGTTATCTGGTTAAGAAACACCTTAGAATCAGAGTATTTCTAAACTTTAGGTGATATGCCGTGAATAAAAAAATACACTTAGCCTAGAGATGAAGGACAGATAAGAAAGGAGAGGAGAGGGCAAACACTGCTAGCTACAAAAAAAGGAAGCTGTCAGAACATTAACTAAAGAGGTAAAGGATTTAACATTTCATTAACTTTGGGCAAGTATTTTTAGCTGTATAATAAACTGAATTACTTAAGGAAAAAGAAAATTGTGGTTTTGATGGAATTTTTTAATACAATGATTTGTGTGCACATGACAGTATCTTACCTTTCTTGGGGTCATTGCAAGCCTACAATACTTAGCCTACAGACTTGTACCTAACATTACACCATACACCAGGGGTTCTCAAACTGGGGATCGGGACTCCTCAGGGGGTTGCGAGGTTATTACGTGGGGGATTGCGGGCTGTCATCCTCCACCCCAAACCCCGCTTTTCCTCCAGCATTTATAATGGTGTTAAATATATTAAAAAGTGTTTTTAGTATATAAAGGGGGTTGCACTCAGAGGCTTGCTGTGTGAAAGCGGTCATCAGTACAAAAGTCTGAGAACCCCTGCCATACACGATGCAATACCCCAGGCAGGACAGACACCATATAACTTATTGCTAAAATCATATCTCATTGAGTAAGTGTATCATTCGTCCACAAAATATGTTCTTCATTTTTAAATTAAGTTGTTGAATTTGACAAGCTGTATCCACTGGGTTCTTATTGAATGTAATAATGACTCTTAAAAACAAACTTTGTATTTGTGGATAATCTAAGCACTATACCCAGATGTACAGAACCCAACCTATGTATTATATATATTTTTTTAACATTAGCTTTAATAAATTTTTTACCATTCAGCCAATCTTTGCAGCAAATCAAAATCAGCTTGTCTTCTTTATTATATTCTAAACATACAAATAATTTTTTTTTAATTTCAAAAGCATTCAAATAACTTTACAATATTCTCTAGGCAGAAGATGTGTTATTCTGTGCACGTGTAATTCTAAGAAGGTAATAAAACAAATATTAGTGCAAATGTGTTTACTGAAAACACATATACTTATGCCTGTTACCAAGTTGTGCAATACAATTACAACAACTTTGTCACGGGCTGAGCAAGAAAAGCACTATCAACACAGGAGTTGTCTCTTATCCTATACGAGAATATATACAGGCAGTAATTAATATTTCATAGAAAATAATTATATGTCATGTGCCAGCAAGGTAGATGCAGTACCTTTTTTTACATCAGATTGTGAGACAGTCCCACTTCTGTATCACCATGGCATGACTAGGTAAAAAGACTGCCACTCATCCCCATTCGACAATATTCAGAATCTTCAAAGGTCATCATTTGGAACCAATGCTCTTGTTGATGATTAGCTTCTGTTAATGACAGGCAAACAATTTAATCAGACATAAAAAAAAGAGGGTAGAGATACCCATGAAGAGAAAAAAAAGAAAATGCTTGCAGTCGCCAACTACCTGTACTAAGCAGACAATCAGATTCTCTAAAAGAAGACAAAGTGTTAGATTTTTTTAAAAGCAACAAACCCGAAGTTCTTAGCAATAAAGCTTATAGAATAAAATAGTTTAGTTATAACAAATGAATAGGGACTAATAATAATAACACCTAAATAATATCTACATAGTCGTTTGCAGAATCACAGCAATTTGCAAACATTAAACGACATATCAACTTTAAATCATTAAATTTCAAAAATAAATTAAAAAGTAGTTTCAGGGACTGCACCTCCTCCTGAGCCCTTTGCCAATTTTTCTAGATTTACAATTACATTTTCTTATGTTTAAAAAGAATACTCTCCCCCATTGTTTTGAGAAAGTTACTTTCCCCTTTTGTTTATGTCGTTCTAAGGGACCAGTCCTGCAAATACTTATGCACCTGAATAAATGGTTTTAAAATGTATCCAGTTCATCTGCATATTTGTTTGGACTCTTGATCCTACATTGTGATCCACAAAGGGAGTCTGCTATTAGAAAAACTGATCACAATGCAGGACTAGTGATTAACTGACTACCCAGAGGAAACAGTGCAAGTGACTGTACACAAAGTGTTGTGCATTGCACAGAGTAAATAAACTGAAAAGAGAGAATATTTGTTCTGTCAATTTAGGTGTTACTTATAACAACATCGGGTAAAAAAAAGTTCAGACATAAGTGTGATTTTTAAGTTATTGGTGTCTCTTTAATGAAGTAGGTCCTGATCTTACAAGTAACTGCACACAAGAAGACCTCTGACTTGAAGTCAATAGGACTCTGCACAGGTACAGAGGTACAGCTGCACACAATAACTTGCAGGATTGAGAATTTAAGCCTCATAACACCACTGTGAAATAGATAGATAAATACTGTTTCCCCATTTTATAGATTGTGAAACTGAGAAAAACAGTTTACTGGCAAAATTTTTAAATAAATGATCACTAATTTTGGGTACCCATCTTGAGATATTTAGGGCCTGAACAATAAAAATCAGGTCCCTGGGTTTCTCAAATTGGACACCCAAATATTAAGGCTGCAGCATTTGAAACAAATGCAGAATTCCTAACTGGGAGAACAGAAAGCTGCTCACAGAAAAACACAGCTTTAATAAGAGCATGTATATGTTACTAGTCAGTATTGGAAATATTTATGCATGTCCAATAATCCCTGATTTTGCCATTACCTGATTGAAAGAACAGGTCTAGGCATCGTAACCTTGGGATTGCAGCTACACCCAGCTCCCGGGACTATTGAAAAAAAAATTGAACCACGCCTCTCCTCCTGAGTTTCTGAAGGTATTTATATCTATATAAGTTTCAGGCTACAACACATCAAGAGAAAGGGCGTCCCGTGCACTCAAACAGCTTTAGAGCTTTTCTTTACGGTGGAACCTTTGCTGTGCTGTGTAGTACGTGTCCTGATCTGCACCCCCAGCCCAGCCGTGTTCTGATTGCAATAGCAGGGAACACAGGTGGCCGCATTCCTTGCTAAGCGCTTGCATTTCTAGGACGTCTAGTTCTTTCAGCGCTTCGGTGCCTGGTGCCTTTTTAGGCCCTCGAGGACCATGAGCTCAATAGCCCTCTTCCTGCAGCAGAAAACGCACCGGCCCAGTCCCCTGGGAGATGTAGTTTTCTCTTCCACCCTGAAAGCCTCCTTACCCGGCAGTGCCTATGCCCGCGAACGCGGCAGCTCAGCAGAGCCAGGCAGTTCCCAGCCTACAGCCCCCCGGCGCTAGCCACGCGTTGCCCATCGGGCAGGGACAAGACTGGGCACTGGGCAGAGCCTACTGGGTGGGGTGGGGAAGACTACAAGCCCCATGATGCAAGAGGCCGTGCGCGCCGGCGCAGACGGGCGCGCCCTGGAGTAGGGGGTGGGGCGCGCGGCAGAGAGCAGCGCCCGGGCGGGCACTGCCGAGTGCGCTAACCTAGGAGCGACCATGCCCCGGGACAACATGGCCTCCCTGATCCAGCGGGTGGCCAAACAGGCCCGCATCACCTTCCGGGGCCCGGCGCCGGGGCCGGGCTTCGGTGAGAACCTGCACCGGCTGCAGCAGCTGCTGAACGAGGTGCGGGCCGAGGACCTGCACCTTGTCCCGCGGGGCCCGGCGGCCGTGCCGGGGGCGGGCTGCTCGCGGGCCGGGGCCGGCGCCGGGGCCGGGGCGGTGCCGCCGGTGAGCTACATGCACATCTGCGAGACGGAGAGCTTCAGCATGGGCGTGTTCCTGCTGCGGAGTGGGGCCTGCATCCCGCTGCACGACCACCCGGGCATGAACGGCATGCTCAAGGTGCTCTACGGCAGCCTGCGCATCGCCTGCCTGGACCCGCTGCCCCCCGCCGCGCCGCCCGGCGCCCGCCGCCGCGCCCTGCTCCGCTCGCGCCAGCTCTGCACGCCCGCCTCGCCGCCCTGCCTGCTCTCTCCGCACACCGACAACCTGCACCAGATCGACGCCGTGGACGGGCCGGCCGCCTTCCTCGACATCCTGGCGCCCCCCTACGACCCTGAGAACGGCCGGGACTGCCACTACTACCGCCTGCTGGAGGCGTCCGCCGGCCCCGCCGCCGATCCCCACGCCCTGCCCCGGGAGGTGTGGCTGGTGGAGACCCCGCAGGCGGCGGATTTCTGGTGTGGCGGAGAGCCCTACCCCGGGCCCAAGGTCTCCCCTTGAAGCAGGCGCGGCCCCTCTCACGGTGAGGCTGCGCCAGAGCCCTCTGAGGACGGACCGCTTCCCCCTCCCTCGACTACTTCTTCCCCGGCAGTGATCGTGTGGGGCCCGCTGGAGTAGGGGGCCCCTCCTCCTCCTCCTCCGGCAGGAGATCGAAGAGCCGACAGCAGCGGGACGGGAGGATCTGGCTTGTGCCGTGGCTCACTCGAGATGTCGCAGCGGCTGCACTCGCTGTACAAAAGCCATAGTCACGATTTCCTTCCCAGCCGCCTTTGAAGTAATGCTAGTCACTACAGCAGGCCTAGCTCCTAGTCCGGGGGTGCGGAAAGCCACTCCCCAGCCTCCCCGGGGCAGTTGGATGCGTTGGGAGAGTATTTGTGTGCATGTCTTGGGCTATCATTTTCTCAGTTCAGCTCATCAGTTCCAACAATGAAGCATCCATCTGCTGGGGCCATGGGCTGCACTCTTCTAGGGTACTGCTTCTCTACCAATGGATAATTGCAGTAGAAACAACTTTTTATACACAGACCATGCCCCAGAGGAGCTGATTGCCACTAAACTAAGGGTGAAAAAATCTTGTGTGTTTCTGCCAATGGCCCACACAGGAGAGCAGTTTCTGGGGCAGATTATGGTACCATTTCCCTGTCCAAATCATCAGAAAGACACCAGCCAATTAACTCACACAGGAAACCCAAATCATAACCCTGGGTGATTTGGTGTGCTTGATCAGGGCAGTTATACAGACTTAGCTGCTTTATGGTGGCTGAGCATCTCCTACTCCTGACTAACGAGAATAGCAATATCCAGCCAGAACTACCGCTGTTAATTACATAGACTGTATTTGCAGGAAAGCTACAAAACTAAAACCTCTTTGTGCTTACTGCCAAGCTTTTTGAGTGGAGGGCACTAAACGATCCAGTGGATTTTTTTCCTCCTTTTGACTGATGTGAAGACATGCAAAAGTAGTACTGTTTAAACTTCCACACAACTGAATGTTAAAGTAAATATCAGTATTTTGTCTAACCACTTAGGACACCCCTCTTTCATCCCCCCCTTCTTCCTAAATTTAAGAGAATAAATGCAATAAGAAACTTCACTCTTCTATAAGGCATGTTTGTAAGTGCTCTGAAAACTCATGAGGTGGTATTTCCAGCCTGTCTAGTCCCACTGACAGTGACTCCTCAAACGCAGCTTCCCTACTTTGTGGGTAGGAATAGGGAGTTTGTCCCCACAACCCAAGGTAATAAACAAATGGGGAATCTTCTGTTTGTTGGGGACTGTCTCTGAAATGAGCATCAAGAAGATCTATATGGAACTAGCAAGACACCGAAAACTCTTGGGCCAGGAAATGCTCCTAGAATTAACACTAGCCATTTCTAAGGTTACAGTTAATTATAAATTAAGGTTTGTCACATTTTAAAGGGACATTGTCAGATAAACTACTTTAAACATTCCTTAAGTTACATAAAACATAAGATTAAAACTGAAAACTTGTAAAATTCTTTGCTATTTATGTTTGTACATTTCTTTGATTGATGAAAATAGAACAGCTTCTAATCAATTTCACTTTAAAGCGCTCATGCAGCCCTGTGTTAGGTGGAAACACTACACAGAATTTGTTGTTTTTTTAAACTTCATTGCTTTTTAAATGTTTTGTGGGAATTTTTCTAGTGGTCTTAGAGCTGTATATAAACATAATCCTTTAAATCTGGGACCAGATTTGACCTGAGGACATCCCTTGGAAGTGAGGCCTACATTTTGATACATAACAGAACATTACAGGCTTTATAAGCCATAAGTATTTTCTCTCTTTACAAAAATTGCTTTTTCATACGGCTTTTCATAAACATAGTGTAAAGAAAACAGTGAATTTTGCTTTGCTATGGTGTAAGCAGTTTTGAGGTTTAGTTTGCCTATGATAGAGAGTATGACCTTTCTAACAATGGAGATACTTTTTCTATTAGTGAAATATTCTGTTTATACTACAGGGAAAGATTTTATGTGCCTGCATCTTAATACATACTTTCTACCAGAGACCCAAACTTGGGTAGCCTTGACTTTCCTAGTCTCGTAGTAGTGACTTGAACAGAAAAAATATTGACTTAACCACTTCATAATTGATATACGAACCTGTTCTGGAAGTTTTCCCTTCACTATTTTTTCTTTGCTTTATGCATTTTAAAAGCAGGTTTGTTTTTCCTGTATAGTTGCTTATGTGTGAGTTTTAAAATAATCCTTTTGGGGCTTTGTATTTAACGATACTTCAAGGAGCTTGTTCTTGCCTGCAAAAGATTGGATATGAAATGCACTGGAACACACACTACATTTTCAAATCTGTTTTCTGAAAAATGGAAGATGTTATTTCATGCAGTTTTCATTTATTTTTTGGCACTTCAAAGTGCCTGATTTCTACAGCTGCCATACTTGCTTCTCCTGGAATTCCATTGCAGCTCAGCTTTAAATAATAAATAGGCAGTGAGATCACATGTTCTCTTATATTTAGTTGTAATGCAGTTCTTCAGTATATTATAATATGAGTCTAATTCTCTGTTCTGTAACACTAATAAAGACTTTTTTTTCAGAATTCCTTATGGAAAACAGCATGTAGGGTGCAAGCAGCTCTACTGGAAATACAAACTGCTCCAAAGAGAATTTTTATCTAACCTGTTTTAGTCTCTCTTGTCTTTCTGCTCTCTCTTTTTGCTGTCAGTTTTACACCATATGTAAAAACTAGTCATGATGTTTAATGGGATGTGACTTTAATGCATCTTTAATGGTAGTGATCCCTTACCTTGCATGATGTTCTGGCAACAATCACAGCAGAAGCTTTATTAAAGTGGAGCTAAAAGGACCAGTATTAAAACAAGTCCTAGTGCCAGGAAGAAACAAATAACTAAGATGCATTAAAGAAAAGCCTTTTTGTTTAACAGGTTTTGCAACCTTCATATACTTAGTAATTAGAATTTACTTCAAACGCTCTTACTATCTTTAAACAGAAGGCTCAAGTCTGTTTTGCTGTTCTTTCTCACTGCAGCCTGGGTATTGTGTTTTCATAACAGCAAAATTACTGCTGTTGATGATGAACTATAGAATAAATACAGGATATCTCACAGTTGGCCTCTGATTATTTTCCCTTGCAAGTGTAAAAGTCTTATGAACCCAGCTGGGTGAAAATAATATATATTTTTTCTTTTGCAGTCACAAAGGTCTGTTGTGAATTATTTTTAAATTAATTCATGTATAGTTTATACATCAGAATGAGTCTTTCCTGTTATGTCAGTGAAAATGCCAGGGCCCTGTGACATTAATCTAGCTGTATCTATGGCTTCCTTTCATAAACCTTCTACGCTCCCCATCTAGTCAAAGTGCTGTGTAGTCTCAATATTTTGACATTTGAGGACAGGTGTAAATCTGAGTCAAAGGCATGGATTTAAGAATGTAGTGTCAGCTGTCTTAAAGTTTCTGTTGTAGCCACATTGATTCATCTGTAGTTTTTCTTAAATCAACCTATTTATTATGCATCCTTTTTCTGTCAGGTTTATGCCTCTTTTCTCCTTTAAGTAGGAATGTAATCTTTTAACATGTTAAATTGTTCTGACTCGAGTATATAATCTTGCACTAATACAACTGCAGTTAGATCTGTGGTATATTTTGGACAAACTAGCCATTGCTGAGCTGCAGTCATAGTAGGAGAGCTGCCCTGCCCTGACCATGAATCAATGGGGCTTTGGAACTTTAGCACATTGAAAGAACCAGATCACTGACCATCTCTAATACAGTGAGCTACTGATGCTAAACAAGAAAGCTTTGTTTCCCATAGGGTGGCATTCAACATCCATACAGGTCTTGGAGCTCCTATGTTAAATCAGTCATTAAACATTCAACTGTGTCTTTTGGAAACCACCTCTATATGGTATGAGATAGCAATGCTGAAGTATACTGAAAGCCATGGCGCAATGAAAAATGAATTCCCTCGAGTACCTATGATCTGGTACCTATTAATGCTGGCAGCTATGTTTTCTCACAGCTATGTAGTTCTCGGCTATTAGCAAATAGAGACCTGATTGTAATTAGTCAAAGCTGAACAAAATCAAACTTATTTCATGCTCAGTTTCAAGTCACACACAATAAAAAGGTCCTGGTCTTTCAGGTGCGTGGTGTGAGCTGCTAAGGAAAAGATCAATCTCAGGAAAAAAGGAAACAGCTTTCAATGTTCAACTCTGTTCTAGTGGAGATTGTCAGCCTTTTTACTCTGGAATGTGTTGAGCAGTTTACAGTGCCAAAAAGCTGCACTGAGCTGAAAGTTGCATATAGCTGTCTTGTGGTAGAGCCCTTTAAGGAAGGTTTTTAAAAAAACCAATTATATCTATTCTGTTACCCACCCCCCTGAATTATTGGAGTGTAAAGCAATTAGTGTTCTTCCCACCCACGCTTTAAACTCTTAATATACTTCAGGCAAATAAATGAAGTTTGGTAGGCATAGCTATAATGTGTTCTCTGCCATTTCCAATCATGTTAACTTTTGCAGAACTACTGCAGCTTTTACAAATCTACATCAGAAAATACATAGCAGCAAAACATTTCATATAAAGACAGGCTTTGTGTATTATGCATGTTACTTTAGTTTCTTGTTCACCTGAACCCAGTGCAGGTAGCGTACCCAGTTCAGTACTTCCCACTGTGACTAACTCCCCTATAAAATTAATGAGGGGTTTGCCAGCGTAAAGAGCTGAATTAGGACCTCATAGTGTATGCCAAAGGACCTCCGTTCTAAGTATCTACCCAACCTATCGAGGCATTCACACACAACCTTGGCTTAGGGAAATTAAAGATGGCTAAAGTAAATGAGATATGTGGATAGTCAGCATCTCTTAAGATCAGCCTCAACAATCATATAGTATAACCTAGCATATCTGTATAATGGAAGAAGAAAAACTTCATAGTAGCTTTAAATGTTATGTGATTTTCCTTCTGCAAAGGTCCACATCAAGATTTTTGCTATCATACACATACAGCTAAGAATTACTTTCAGGAGCAGTTTGCTGCCTCTGACAGTAAAAGGCTCAATTCTGATTGAACAATATCAGCTTGTTTTGAAATTTGAGTCACCTGATTTAATTAAAATAAGTAC